CCTTTTTAAGACCACTATCTCTCCTGTCTGCTGGAGTTTAAGCTCCATCAGACCATATCTCTGACATTCACTGATGTTTTACCAGGGCCTATCCCAGTCTTTAGCACCTAGGGGTCATAAAGTAAATTTTTGTCTAATGAGTGTGTGAATGAATACTCTCATGAATTGGAATTTTGTTGTATACCAATATGGGGCAAGAGTAATATGGTGTAAACTTTGAAGAATATCCTTGGGTTTAAAAAGTGGAAGAAGGGCTTCCCTGGTGGCGCAGTGGTTGAGAGTCCGCCTGCCGATGCAGGGGACACGGGTTCGTGCCCCGGTCCAGGAGGATCCCACGTGCCGCGGAGCGGCTGGGCCCGTGAGCCATGGCCGCTGAGCCTGCGCGTCCGGAGCCTGTGCTCCGTAATGGAAGAGGCCACAGCAGTAAGAGGCCCGTGTACCGCAAAAAGAAATAAAAAATAAAAAGTTGAAGAAGAATTTAGAATCTATCAGGACAGACTTGATTGTTGCTATTATTATTATTTATCAACATTGATAATTTTTTTGCCAAATCCTTGGTGAATGTATACTGGATGATATCACATTTTATATCAACTATAGATTTTAATATAGATTGATGTTTATGATAATTTTATAATAAACTTCATATAGATCATAAAAAAAGATACAAATAGCTTCAGAAATACAGGGTACCTGGGAACAAACCTAACAAAGAAAATGTACAATTTTCAAGAGGAAAAGAATTCTAAAATTTTATTGAAAGATTTTCAAAATGTCAATAATTGGAAAACAAATGATGTTCATGGAGAGGAAGACTGAATTTTTTAAAAATCTCAGTTCCTTCTAATAGTCTTGCAAATCCAGTCAGAAGTCCACTTGTCGAAATTGATGACCAAGTTGAATATACAAATTATAAAGGTGAGCAAAGGGCCTGTGAATAGGTAAGACACTCTTGAAGAGAGAGAAAACACAGGGGACTTGCGCTGCCAGATACGGGGACTTATTATAAAACTGCAGTATATGCCCCCTGTTTGGTATTGGCTCAAGGATAGACAGATAAACTAGTAGAATCAAATAGATAGTCCAGAAACAGACTTATATATATATGGAAATCTGATTTATGACAAGGCTAGCATTGCAGACTATTGATGGTAGGACAATTTATTATCCACGTGCAAATAAAGTAGTGGATCCTCACACTACACACACAAATTAATTTCAGATGGTTTAAGGACTTAGTTGTAAAATGCAAAACTATGAAGGTTTAGAAGACAATATAAGATAAGATCTCAATGACTGTATTAGTAAAGGCTTTCTTAAACAAGACCCAATAAGGATAGACCATAAAGGAAAAAACTGATTAATTTGATTACATAAAAAGTAAAAACTTCTGTTATTCAAAAGACATTATAAAGGGACAGAACAGCAGAGCCTTGTTCAAGATGATGAAGTCAAATGCCTAGTGCATTTGATTAATGTATTTGATATTTGCACAACTAGAAAATAGGAAGAATTTGCTAATAAATACATAGAAAATGAAGGAAACACATACACACATGCTGTGCAAAGATCTTCTTATCAGTTCAGGGAGAGAAAGGAAAAATAGTATTGTGTGCTATATTGCTCACCTATTAATAACATTTACATGATGTCTAATAAAAATGGTGATATAATTGCATTGGGAAGATGGGTGCATAAAAAGTATGCCTGTGTTTGTGAAAAAGAGCTAAATAATATGTCATGAGATAACTAAAAATTGTCAAACTCTTGGTTTGGTAGATTAGCTAATTGTATCAACATTAATTTCCTGGTTGTGATAATTGTACTATGGTTATATAAAATATTAACATTAGGGAGAGCTAGGTGAAGGGTATATGAGGACTCTGGCTATACTTGCAACTTTCTGTAAGCCTAAGATTAATTCATCATAAGAAGTTAAAGAAATCAACTAATAGTTGTTGGCTCTGGGGAGTAAGAAATGTGACAGTGCTGGGGGATTATTGACATTTGGTAATAATTTTTATAGCACTACTTGACTTTTTAATTGGTATGCATTTGTTATTGGAGAAAATGGAAAGTAGAAAATTGTGCAGAGCTCAATGGAGGAAAGTTATTTCTCTGTAAATTTAACTTGGATGCTTTGGAAAGAATTGACAAAGTTAGTTACATGGAAAAGGATATTGCTATCAAATTATCTATGAGGGAGATTGAGCTTGTTAGTTTAGTCAGAAGTTAAAGAGGGAAACAATTAAAAAGTATATACTTAAACATTTTATTTTAGCTTGGAACCTAAAAATGCATACTTATTCATCAATCTTTTAATGAAGGGCCATAGCTTTTTGTGTGTGTAGGGAATCCAGTGAGTAGAGTTCAGTAATGGATTTCTTATATAAACCATGCCTGTATTCTTTATCATAATTTTAAATTTCAGTCTCTTTAAAGAGAAAGAACCTAAAGAACATATGATAAAACCTATCTACCTCCATACTTCTTTTCATCTTGTAAAACCAAAACACCCTATCCATTAAACAATAGCTCTCCATTGCTACTTTCCCCTGCCTCTGGCAACCACCATTCTACTTTCTGTCTCTATCATTTCGACTACTTTCAGTATCTCATATAAGGGGATCATACAGTATTTCTCTTTTTGTGTCTGACTTATTTTACTTAGCAGTGTTCTCGTGGTTCATCCATGTTGTAGCATATGTCAGAATTTTCTTCCTTTTTAAGGCTGAATGATATTCCATTGCATATCTATACCACGTTTAGCTTATCCATTCATTCATTAAAGGACCCTTGGGTTGTTTCCACATTTTAGGTATTGTGAGTAATGCTGCTGTGAACATGAGTGTACAAATATCTCTTCAAGACACTGATACCCTTCAATCCTTTTTTCATCCCTGCTTTCAATTCCACCAAGAAGTGGAATTGCTGGATTGTATGGTAATTCTATTTTTAATTTTTTGAGGAACTCATATTATTTTCCATAACATTTCCATTTTACATTCCCATGAACAGTGCACAAGGGTTGCCATTTGTCTCTATTCTTGCCAACTGTTGTTATTTCCTGTGGTTTTTTTTTTTTTTTATGGCAGCCATCCTAATAGTGTGAGGTGGCCTCACATTGTAATTTTGATTCACATTTCCTTAATGATCATTGATGTTGAACATTTTTTCATGTGCTTATTGGCCATTTGTATATCTTCCTTGGAGAAATGTCTATTCACTTCCTTTGCCCAGTTTTGAATTTTGTTGTTGTTGTTGAGTTTTAAGAGTTCTCTCTATATTCTATTCTGGGTATTAATCTCTATAAGATATATGATTTACAAATATTTTCTCCCATTCTTTGGGTTGCCTTTTCACTCTGTTGATATTATCTCCTGATGCACAACGTTTAAAACCTTTCATGAACTCCAATTTGTCTATTGTTGCTTTTGTTGCCTATGTCTTTGGTGTGTATCCAAGAAATGCTTGCCAAATCCAATGACATGAAGCTCTTGCCCTATGTTTTCTTCTAAGAGCTTTATAGTTTTAGCTGTTACATTTAGGCCTTTGATCCATTTTGAGTTAATTTTTTGTCTGTGGTGTTAAGTAAGGGTCCAACTTCATTCTTTTGCATGTGGATATACAGTTTTCCCAGCTTTCCCCCCAGTGAATGATCTTGGCCTCTCTGTGAAAAAATCGTTTGACTGTGTATGTGAGGGTTTATTTCTGGTCTCTCTATTCTGTTTCATTGGTCTATATGTCTGCCTTTATGCCAGTACCACATTGTTTTGATTGCTGTAGCTTTGTAGTAAGCTTTGAAATAAGGAAGTATGAGTCCTCAAGCTGTGTTCTTCTCTTTCAAGATTGATTTGCATATTTGGGATCCTTTGAGATACCATATGAATTTTAGGATGGATTTTTTATTTCTGCAAGAAATATTACCTTGATAGGGATTTTGATAGGGATTGCATTGAATCTGTAGGTGGCTTTGGGTAGTATTGACATCTTAATATTAAGTTTTCCAGTTAATGAACATGGCATATGTTTTCATTTGTTTATGTCTTCTTTAATTTCTTTCAGCAGTGTTTTGTAGTTTGCATTTTGCAAGTCTTTTACCTCCTTAAGTAAATTCCAAAGTATTTATTCTTTTTGATGCTGTTATAAATGGGATTTTCATAATTTCCTTTTCAGATTGTTCATTGTTAGTATATAGAAATGAACTGATTTTTGTATTTTGGCTTTGTATCCTCTACTTTACCAGATTTATTTATTAGCTCTAATAGTTTTTTGTGGAACCTTCAGGGTTTTATATATAAGATCATAACATCTGTGAAAAGAGAAAACTTTACTTCTTCCTTTCCAATTTGGATGCTGTTTATTTCTTTTTCTTGCCTCATTGCTCTGGCTATAACTTTCAGTATTATGTTGAATAAAAGTGGCAAAAGTGGGCATCCTTATCTTGTTCCTGATCCTAGAGGAAAAACGTTCAGTCTTTTACTATTGAGTATGATGCTTGCTGTGGGTTTTTCACATTTGGCTTTTATTATGTTGAAATACAAAATAGAGTTTGTTACTTTTTATGGATTCTTATACTTTTCAAAAATTTCAAGTAAAGAAAAGAAATAACTGTGTGTTTGTGTTTGCAAATATACATGTATACACATACTAGATAAGCATATGTATATAATTTATTGATTGATATATATGAATAAACCTGGTGGACAAAATTACTTATTGAGGTTATTTTTTAGAACATTTGAAAATAGTAGATGAAGTGTTTCTTAATAAAACTATATCCCATCTTTTTTTAGATGTTGCACCCATTGGGTGTATTAGTTGTATGCTTGGTATAATGTTTAAACTGTTGCAAATTGAGGTGAATTAGTTGGAAGTGAAAGACTAGCAATATGAGTAGCTTATTTATATTTTTAATTTGACACTCTTTGATAAGAAAACAGGCAATATGTTTATGTTTAATGATATTCTTCTAAAAGATTTTTTTTTTCTTATTTCAGGTAACTTAATGCGGCCTCTTTTGAATTATGGTATTGCTTGGTGAGCATATCTTTTTTACTTTATGTTACTTTTCAGAATAACATTAACTTATATAAATTAGTTGTATTTTTGGTTTCCCATTGCAGTATGTCCATGGGCTTCCTGATTGAAGAGACTGCACCCATTGTTTGGAGAGGCCTTATGGTAATGTCAGCCATTGAGAAACTGTTGAGGCAGGTAAGAAAATTGCATTAAGCATCATTTTATTATCGGCACACTGTGGTTAATATTTTCTGATTGGAGAGTCGTTAAAATTTGCAGTCAGGTTTGAGATGTTTTGCAAAAGAACCCAGTCAATATACTGAATTTATAATGAGGTGTGTGGCGCCAAGACCAACTTTCACTGTCACATGATTGAATCTTTCCTGTTGCTTATTAGTACTAAAATCTAATGTCTTATTTTATATTATTCTGTTTTTCTGTTCAGACTCTGTTGAGTCTACATCAAGGCAAGGAAATTTATTTTATAAGTAATCTGCCTTCTTTAGATTTATGGTTAATTTCGTAGTGGCCAATATTGAGTTATAAGGGCAGTGTAGAAATTCCTTAGATGTAGAAAAAATTCTGTAAACCACAGTGCTTATGATTAAAATTGCTTCATAACAAAATGAAGTTTTATTTTACTCTGAGTACATATGGCTACATATTTATTTATATAGTATCTGTCCAATCAACTTGAATTTGTCCTTAAGGCAAAGAACAGTTGATTGGATAATCTAAAAATATCAGATGAGCTCTATGTTATTTATAGGAATAAATTTTATTTTTTCTTAGTAACTGTGAATTTATAGTTAATTGTGTTCTAGGTAAATATTATGAGTACTTTGGATTTTCTCCACTGACTTATAACAATTACGCCTTATTTATTCATGTTTTACTTTGGGTCAGGCACCATGCCATAGGCTGGCAGTTCTAATCACACATATTCCTATATTCATTTCCAGTTGTGAAAGTAAGTAGATATAATATGTCTTGAACTCTGAAACTCTTCTTTTTTCATTGTAACATCTTGTCTTTTTTCTGCTGCTTGAGTTCTGATAAATGTGCTCTTTGATCTTTGGTCCCAGAATCCTCCTATCTTCTCAGCACATTTAAGTCTCTTGGCTGCATTTCTTCCTCTTTCACACTCAGATCCCATAGTTGGTTATTTCAGTTATACTCCTGACCCCATCCATTCCAGTTCCTTTGTGATCTTGACCTTTATTTCTGTGGATTAAGCCAGGATTTTTTTTTCTTTAAGGAAATTCTAAAACAATATTTATTCAGTTTATAATTAAAGTTAGAGTCAATGGAAATTTGGAAACACCAGAAGGAGAATTTTGATTTTAATATTGTCAACTGAAAAAATTGTGCAACCTGTAAGTTGAGAATTATGTTTTATTTGGCGAACAAAACTGAGGACTTCATCCCAGGATGCAGTCTCTCAGGTAACTCTAAGGGACTGCTTCGAAGAGGTAAGGGAGGGGCCAGGATATATAAGAGTTTTTGCAGCAAAGACAGGTAGTCAGAACATCAAAAGATTACTGTCAATTTAAGAAAATTACATATCTCAAGTTAAGGAATTTAGCACTTGTCTATGTATGGGAGGATACAAGAGTTTGGGCTCATTGAAATCATTCCTTTGATATCTGGGGCCCTCAGTTATCTGGGGCCAGTATCCTGTGCTTTCTCATTCTGAGTTTCCTCAGGGTGCACCATCAGGGGTGGCTGCAGCAGCTGACTGCTAGATGGGGGGCATTCTGTTTCTATCCTGAGTTCCCTCAGGGCTCAGGGAGGCGGTAATGTGATGGCTTGATGGCTGCAACATCCTTGTTTACTGATATGGCAGGCAACATTTTCTCATTGACAATATTTCCTGCCTCCTATGTTAGTGTTAGAATTCTCAACAGGAAATGATTCAGAATTCCTCCTAAGTCTTTATGGATGGCCACAAGAAGATGGAAGTACTTCCGCTTTCCACAGTGATCAGACACTTAGAGATCCAAGTCAGTGAGAAGAGACACAGAAGTCCAGGCCAAGGGTTGGTGTTCCTAGCTCAGAGATGTAGAATCCCCATAGCCCATGCCCAGCAAGGGGTGAGCAAGTTCTCTCTTTTCTGTCCTTTTTAAATCTCAGGGATCCTTTTAAATCTCAGATTCCAACAGGTGACAAAAGCATCTGCAAATGAGCCCCTGAGCCTGGAAGAGAGAGAGCAAGTGTGTAACTGCCCTCAGGAGAGGGGCAAAGGGAGTTTCCCACAGAATGAGATTAAACCTGACAGTTCAAATAATTAGGCTGCAGAAAGACTGCACCTGAAGCTCAGACTTAGATTTAGTACCTGCTTTTATAAACAAAGAAAACTTTTTGAGACCAGAGGTGAGAAGATCAAAAGTCTGAAGGAACCAGAAGTATATTATTTTTTTATTTTGTGGGGTGTTGGGGAAGGGGAGAGGAGGCAGGATGCCAATTCTGTATTCTCAGTGTCCCACCATAACCCAGCCTTTTGTATCTACTGCTGAATACTGTTGGAGAATGTAGAATACTTGTGTTAATTGCTGGCATCATACATTTTTGATTTCTGAGTTTAGCCAGGCTCTCAGCACTTCAGTCATCTGATTTAATTCATTATTCTTTTAACATTTATTAAATGCTTAGCTTAAAAAATATTTAGAGGGCTTCCCTGGTGGCGCAGTGGTTGAGAGTCTGCCTGCCGATGCAGGGGACACGGGTTCGTGCCCTGGTCCGGGAAGATCCCACATGCCGCGGAGCGGCTGGGCCCGTGAGCCATGGCCACTGAGCCTGCGCGTCCGGAGCCTGTGCTCCGCAACGGGAGAGGCCACAACAGTGAGAGGCCCGCGTACCACACACACACACACAAAATATATATATATATATTTAGGGAATTTGGTAGTTTGGCAGAGGACCTATTGGAGATGTGGCGATTTGACTTGCTGGCACATAAATCATATAAAAGTTACAGTTTATTCTGACAAGTGCTGAAGATACATTTTTAGCAAACATACTACAAAATATCAGAATGAATATCAGGGGCGAGAAAATGAATCCATTACTTATTTTATTGGGATACTTAGAGGATACCTAGAGTATCCTCTAGGATATTAGGATATTGGCCTGCATGTTTGCCATACAGCCTTTTGTAAAGTTGCTTCTGTCATCTGGACATTTTAATAGGAGCTGAAAGCTGATATTTTTGGATCATACCGTGACCAGTGCTAATCATCTGAGCTATTAATTAAGGAGTGTTTTGTTTTAGTTTTTGCTTTGCTATAGAAAGCAGACCAGCATTTGGTAAATTTAACATCCTTTGTGAAAATATAGTAGCTGGATAGATGCTCTATATAGCAGTGGATTGTGGAGGGTACCTGGTTCATTGGCTGATTAAAAAAACTGAATATAACACATATGTAGTAGGTAGAAGAAGGTACAGATCATAAGTGTCCAGAAAGATGGATTATCCCAAAGTGAAAACACCTTCATACTCAGCATTCAGGACAAGATAAATGGAATACCAATGTTCCAGAAGCTCTTCTCCTGTCCCTTCCCAGTTACTATCTTGTGGGGAGATGATAAATACTTGTGGTAGGTCTGCCACCTTGAACTGGAATCTTTTTTAAAGTTTTTTTCCCTCTTTCTTTTAATTTATTGAGTTAAACTTATACATATAATAGGATTCACAGATCTTATATGTGGAGTTCAGTGATTTTTGATAAACATATATGACTGTGTAACCATACCCCAATCAAGATAGAGGACATTTCCATGCCCCTAGAAAGTTTCCTTGGACTCTCTTGTAGTCAGTCCCACACCCATAGGCCATGATTGTTGTGATTTCTGTCACCATAAATGAGTTTTACATAAATGAGTTTTACATGTTCTTATACTTCATATAAAGGGAACCTTATAGTATAGAGCCTTTTGTATCTGGTTTCTCTTTCTTAGTCTAATGCTTTTGAAGTCATCCTTGTTGCATGTATCAGTAGCTGAGTCCTTTTTATTGCTGAGTAGTATTCCTTTGCATGAATATAACCTAATATTGTTTTAGCTGTTCTTCTGTTGATAGACGTTTAGGTAGTCTCCAGTTTTGGACCATTATGAATAATGCTGCTATAAATACTTGTACAGGTGTTCATAAGAGTTCCAGTTGTTTCACATCTTTGTCAATGTTTGGTGTGGTCATTCTGTTCACTGGTGGGTATAAAATGATATCTTCTGATGGTTTTAATTTGTGCTTCCCTTATGGTCAGTGATTTTAAGCCCCTTTTCATGTGCTGTATCTTCTTTCATGAAGTGTATGTTCAAGTCTTTCACTCTTTTTTTTTTTTTGGCTCATTTTTCTTCTTGTAATTGAGTTGGAAGAGTTTTAATATATTCTGGTTATGAGTCCATTGTCAGGTACATGTATTGGGAATATTTCTCCCAGTCTGTGGCTTGCCTTGTGATGAGCTGAAGTTTTAAATTTTCGTGAAACCCAATTTATCCCCCCCCTCCAATTTTTTTTTTTCTTAATGCTTAGTACTTTTTCTGCCCTCTCTAAGAAAATCTTTGCCTGTCTACCCCAAGGTTGATATTCTCGTGTATATTTTTACCTTTAAGATTTATAGGTCTGGCTTGTATATCAGGAATTAAGTTTTTTGTATGAAGTGAGATAATGATCAAGGTTTATATTTTTTCATAGTTGTGTCATAATAGGAAATATATTTATTCTTTGTCCTTGGGTCCTGACACAAAGCTCCTAAAACCCTTGGAATTTCCTGAGTGATAGGATTGTCCTTTGTCATTCATAAGGAGCCTCGTTTTGAGCACACCTGCTAGTTCATGCTAGTGAGGTGACTTGGGGTAGGACCCCTAGATAGCCTCAGGATGGGACTGGTCACCAGCAAGGCCAAGTATTTAGAGGGTTAGAACTTTCAGCCTCTCCTACTGACCTCTGGGAACGGGAAGGGAGGTGGGCTGCAGATTAAACTCTATGAAAATTCTTGAACAACAAGATTTGATGAGCTTCTGGGTTGTAAAACACATCCACATGCTGGGTGGGTTGTGTACTCTAGTTCCATGGGGACAGAAGCTCCTGTGCTCAGGGCCCTTCTGAACCTTGTATTTACCTCTTCATCTGGCTGTTCATCTGTATCCTTTATAATACCCTTTATAATAAACTGGTAAATGTAAGTAAACATTTT